GCCTCCCCTCATATGTTTCTTGAACTAATGTACTGAGAACCTTCGTTGGCCAGGCACTGTTTTAGGCACCACAGATGCAGCACCAACACAACAGACAGGTCTAGTTTTCACAGAGCTCCTGTTCTAGCAGCGGAACCAGGCGATGAACAAAGATACCAAGGAGACTGCTTTAGCTTAGAGTCCCTGGATGGCACAAACCGTTATACGCAGAACTACCAGCCGAAAGGTTAGCATTTCTAACCTACCAGAGGCGCCCTGGAAGACAGGCATGACAGTCTCCTGCCAGCAGCTCACAGCCTTGAACACCCTAGGGAGGAGTTCTGCCCTGCATACGTGGGGGCACCATGAGTTAGAGTTGACTCACTGACCACTCACAGCAACGACTTTCGCTCACAATGATTTATACGACGTGGTGACTCCTTTCGCTCGCGTGGCCAGGGAAGACTTCTGTGGATCTGAGACCAGGTGTCGTTTCAGGGTGAAATCCATGCTCAGGGCCACGTCAGGCATGAGTGGTGAGTGGTGGTCCACGGGGGTGAGAGACTGGATCACAGAGCTGAAGAGGACAGGGGAAGGAGTCCAGAGTACTTCCTCCCTCAGTGAGAAGCAGCTGGGGTTTTAGGCAGTGGGAGGGCCGTGTTCTGGAAGCAGAACTGGACACCAGTGTGGTAGTGAGAGGAGAGGGGAAGACATAATCAAGGCTGGTCCCAGAGCAACTGAGGCGCGAGGTGAGGAGCACCGGGAAGCGGATTTCAAGGGAAGAAGAAGGGAAGATGGTGTTTCGGCCAGGATAATATTGAGATGGCTGTGGATACCCTCGGTTTCCTTGTCCACAGAGGGGAATGAGGACCGTATGTTGGGAGGGTGGAAGAGATGAGGCACGAACGGTGCTGTGTGGTACCACTCACTGGCTCCGCCACCACAGGTACTGCCCTCACGTGTTCTCCTTCTCTCCCAGGTGCCAGGTGAGGCCAATCCCGTCAACATGGTGGCCAAGCTCAGCCAACTGACAAGTCTGCTGTCCTCTATCGAAGATAAGGTATTTGCTGGACTCCAGCAGCTTCTCTTTAGGCCCTTGTTTACTCTGAGAAGGGAGCTCTGGTAGCATAGTGGGTAAAGCATTGAGCTGCTCATCAGAAGTTTGGTGGTTCAAACCCCCCAGCCACTCCACGGGAGAAAGATGAAGCAGTGGGCTTCCATAATGATTGACAGCCTGGGAAACCCTCTAGGGCAGTTCTACTCTGTCATCTGGGGCGCTGGGGGTCCAAATCAACTAGATGGCAGTGGCTTTGGTTTGGGCTTTGCTTCTGCAAAGATGGACAGCCTTGGAGACCCCATGGGCCATTTCTATGCTGTCCTAAACGGTTGCTATGAGTCAGAGTGGACTCGATGGCAGTGGGTGACTCAGAGAACCCCCATGTGTGCAGGGTGCCCTTTGACCTTTTGACCCTAAGTCCCAACGCTGCTCTCCCTGCTCCTCCCAGCCTGAATGGCTTTGTGTGTTTGTGTCACAGGTCAAGGCCCTGCTGCACGAGGGTCCTGAGTCTCCCCACCGGCGCTCCCTCATCCCTCCAGTCACCTTTGAGGTAAGTGGGGCCCAGGCTTGTGTCCCACGCTTGGGAGCTGGGGGACTTTCTGGTCCCTGTGGAAGAAGAGTTTGGGCCAGGATGTAAAGCAAGGAGCTGGAGGACCAAGCCTAATGGTCAGAAGAACTACTTCATTGTGAAGATGATTAAACGTTAGGATGTGGGTGGGGTCTAGCGGAATCTCTGGGTCCCCCTCATGGGGAGACTCTAAAGGAGAGAGCTTCGTGTTGGTCAAGGGGCCATTAACTTCATCCTTCTCAAAATGAGGGTGGTGAGAGACATTAAATTCAGGCCCCTGAAATGGCTATGAATAGTCCCCAAGGGGGAACTTAGAAGGAAAAAAATACAGCTCCTGTCTTTCCTTGAGAAAAACTGAATTAGAATAACTTGTTTTTCTTAAAGTTCCTCAGAGATTCACTGGTTCCTTGTTCAGAAACACAGTGCAACCCCTCCCTGCCCCCAAGTCCTCTCCAGCCCCCGTCATAATTCACTCTTAAGACGTATTTCTGTTTTCTGAGCTCACCTAAGTAATTTCTCTTTTTCTAATCACTGTAAATAAATGTTCAATCCTTGGTTGTAACGAGGCCTGAGAGCTTAACTCTCTTGCTAAAATCCATTCCAGAAGCAGAAGACACATCAGATTAACAGCATTGTCAAATTAGTCAGTGAACGAACCATCCCCTGATGGTGTCCTGTTTCCTCTCCCATTCCCGTGGGTAGAGCAGCAGCCGTGCACAGAGTTGACAGGCTCGTCTCCTGCTTGACCGATGCCTGGAGATACTGTACACGGATGTGTGGACGAGCGGCGCTTGGCGGGGGGTGGCTGGAGATAAAATCCCAGATGTCCCCACACAGTCCCCAGGGGCGTGACTGACCAGCAGTGCCCGGCGAAGACAAGGGGCTCTTGGTCGGTACGGCCAAGACCCAGACAGGAGCACAAACAGTACCCCTCCTGTACCCTTCACTGCAGGTGAAGTCGGAGTCCTTGACGATTCCCCAGAAGGTGCAGCTCAAGGTTGACGTTGAGTCTGGGAAACTGATCATTAAGAAGTCCAAGGACGGCCCTGAGGACAAGTTCTACAGCCACAAGAAAAGTAAGACCCTTCCACTGTTGCGATCTTGTTCTGCGGGTGCCCTTCCGGGGCCCAGCTGAGAACAGAAGCAGGGTGTCATAGTCAGCAGATGTAGCGGTAGCAGAAACCCCACTTGGGGTGGCTTTACAGAACAGACGTCGACTTTCTCACTGACCAGAAGGCTGCAAGTTTGAACTCGGGGTGTCAGCCCTAGGGGAAGGCATGCTCTCGGCCAGCACTGGGGGGGGTCCCTGTCTCTTTCAGCTGCTTGTAGGCCCTGAGTGCTGGGTTCCTTGGCAATCCTTCCCCCGTTTGTTTGTGTTTGTCTCCGTGTTGAATCTGCAGTTTTTATAACTCAGGAGTGATTAGGTTTCAGATACACCCCAGGGATATGGGCTCATAAATATGACAAAGAAAATGCTGTTCCCACATGGGATTGCATGCACAGGTATTGCTGTTAGGTGCCATTGAGTTGACTCCAACTCATAGCAGCCCTGTGCGCAATAGAATGAAACACTGCCCAGTCCTGGGCCAGCCTCACGATTCCTGCTGTACCTGAGTCCATTGTTGCAGCCACTGTGTCAGTCCATCTTGTTGAGGGCCTTCCCCTTTTTCACTGACTTCACTTTACTGAGCGTGATCTCCTTCTCCAGGGACTGGTACCTTCTGACCACATGACCAAAGTAGGTGAGACGAAGTCTGGCCATTCTCACTTCCAAGGAACATTCTGCCTGCACTTCTTCCAGGACACATTTGTTCATTATTCTGGCAGTGCATGATATTTTCAGTGTTTTTTACCGGCACCATAATTCAAAGGCATCAACTCTTCTGTCTTTTTTACTCATTGTCCAGCTTTCACATCATATGAGACGATTAAAATGCCATGGCTTGGGTTAGGTGCACCTTAGTCTTCAAAGTGACATCTTTGCTGAACACTTTAAAGAGGCCTTTTGCAGCAGGTCTGCCCTGTACAGTACGATGTCTGCTTTCCTGACTGCTGCTTCCATGGGTGTTGACTGTGGATCCAAGTAAAATGAAATCCCTGACAACTGCAGTCTTTTCTCCATTTATCATGATGTTGTTTATTGATCCAGGGGTGAGAATTTTTGCTTTTTTATGCCAAGGTGTTATCCATACATCAGTTAGTGCTTCGAGTCATCTTCACTTTCAGCAAGCAAGGTTGTGTCATCTGCATATTGCAGGGTGTTAATGAGTCTTCCTCCAATCCTGATGCTGTGTACTTCTTCATATAGTTTAGCTTCTCGACTTATTTGTTCAGCATACAGATTGAATAAGTATAGTGAAAGGATGCAACCCTGACACACTCCCTTCTTGATTTTAAACCATGTAGTATTTCCTTGTTCTGTCAGGAATGACAGCCTCCTCATCTATGTACAGGTTCCTTGTGAGCACAGTTAAGTGTTCTGGAATTCCCATTCTTTGCAAAGTTATCCACAATTTGTTACGATCCACATAGTCAAATGCCTTTGCGTAGTCAATAAAACACAGGTAAATATCTTTCTGGTATTCCCTGCTTTCAGCCAAGATCCATCTGACATCAGCAACCATATCCCTCATTCCACGTCCTCTTTTGAATCCAGCTTGAATTTCTGGAAGTTCCCTATCGATATACTGCTGCAACCATTTTTGTTTGTTCATTTGTTTTTATTTTTTTATTTACTGTGATTTGGGTGAAGATTTACAAAGCAAATTCACTTTCCATACAGCAGTTCACATATACTTTGTCTCATGTCATTGACCACAGTTTACCACAATGCAACAGCTCCCTTCCCACTTCCTCCCCATAGTTACCTCCTCCCAGTGTCCGTCCCTTCATACTCTCCTGCCCCCTGAGCTGTCTCCCTGTGCATAAGCAGCCCTTCCTTCTCCCATGATTATTCTCTCCAGGGCGTGTGTCTACTTGAGGTAAATGTTTAACTCACACACCTGTAATTTGTTTGGCTGGAAACCACAGGTGTGGGTTCAATTCCAGACCTGAAGGGCAGCTAGGGGCCATAGTCTCAGTGGTTCCACCAGGCTCTATTTGACCAGCAAACCTGGTCCCAACCATCTATTTTTTTTTTTTTTTCCCCTCCAAATGATTTTGAGTTTTGTTCCACATTGTTCTCCCTCTCTATCCAGGATCTCCTACATCCCTTCCAAGTGGATGACAGTGGTAGCCGGGCACCATCTAGTTCTTCTGGTCTCATAGTTGTATAGGATGCAGATCGGATGTGCAACCATTTTTGAATTAGCAAGATTTTACTTGTGTGTGATGTTAATGATATTGCTGAATAATTTCCACATTCTGTTGGATCACCTTTCTTTGGGATGGGCACAGATAAGGATCACTTCTAGTCATTTGGCCAGGTAGCTGTCTTCCACATTTCTTGGCATAGACGAGTGAGTGCCTCCAGCACTGCATCCATTTGTTGAAAAGTCTCAATGAGTGTTCCATAAATTCCTGGAGCATCCACAGGTGTAGGGGTCAGGATTCCAACACACGCTCTGGGAAGGCACAGTTCAGCCCATAGCAGGAGCCCTGCCGGGCACTCATTCCACCCTGTGTGAGGCTGGTCCCTCTCCTGGGATGCCACCCCCATCGCCGCTGCCTGCGGAGCCCCTGCCCATCGCTAAGACTCCCTCTGTTGCCTTCTCTTTTGAGAGACCTTCTGCTTCTTGGCACCCTGGGGAAATGGGTTCACACCATTTCTGTTAACACTTGGCACGCCCTGCCCTGGTGGCAGCTGTGTGTGTGTTGTGCGCGCACATGTGTGTGTGTGTGTGTGTGTGTATGTCACTAGAATCCAGTTGGACCCGTCCTGTTGCCATGCATCGCCTGGTACAGGTCCTCCCCTGCACAGATGAGGTACTGAATGATGACTTGTTGACTGATTCAGACCACACTTGTAGCATAGCTTTAACTTAACGTGGAGTCCTGGGTGGTGTAAACGGTTAACACACTCAGCTGCGAAGCCAAAGGCTGGAGGTTAGAGTCTTCCCAGAGGTGCCGCCAAAGAAAGACCTGGCAATCTACTTAAAAAAAATCATCCATTGGAAACCCTACGGAGCACAGTGCTGGTCTGAGACACGTGAGGTCGCCGTGAGTCAGAATTAACTCAACGGCAGCTGGTTGTTTGAACTTAGCATGGTGTGGAAGTACATGGACTCACCAACTAAACTGTCTGAGTTCACACCCCAGCTCTGGCACTCAGCAGCTTTGTGTTCCTGGAAGAGGCCTCAGTTTCCTGATCCATAAAATGGGAGTGGAAGGCTGTAAGGGTGAAAGTGAGTTAATATACATGATGAGTCCATAACTATAGTAACTTATGGTTGTGCCCGGCACTCTGAGGCTCAGCTGTCATTATCAGTGTGTCCTGGGCAGCTGAGACTTTACATTTTGTTGTTGTTGTTGTTAGGTGCCATTGAGTAGGTCCGACTCACAGCACCCCAGAAGACAGTAGAACTACCCTTTAGGGTTTCCAAGGTGCTAATCTTTATGAGGGAGCTCTGGTGGCATAGTGCTCAAAGCCATCAGCCACTCCTTGGATGGAAGATTGGGCGATCTACTTCCATAGTGGTACTGGTTCAGAAAGCCAAGGAGGGGTCGCTGTGAGTTGGAGCAGAATGCCACATCTTTCTCCCATAGAGCAGCTGGTGGGTTTGAACCACTGACCTTTAGGTTAGCTGCCGAGTGCCTTAAGCACTGTGGCCCTAGGGCTCCTTGATCAGGCCACATAGGCCAGAGAAAGGTGATCGATGCTGTGGGTCTTACCCCTTGATTGAGTCCCTTCTTCACACACTGTTCCATAATCTACCACCGGTTTTGGAGCCCCTGCACCCAGAGTCCCCTGGGCTACCACAGTGTGCTTCAGGCTTCAGGGTCTTCAGATCCACCTGGTGAGGCTGCCTTGTGGCCACATTTAGCAGTTAGAACATAGGGGGCCCAGTTAAATTTGATTTCTGATCAACAGTGAGTATGTTTTTTAGTATAAATATGTCCCAGGCTGTATTTGGGACATCTCTGGTAGCATAATGGCTAAAACATTTGACTGCTAACCAGAAGGCTGGCGGTTCAAACCCACCAGCCACTCCTCGGAAGGAAGGTTGGGCAATCCTACTTCCGTCATGATACTGCCTCGGAAACCCAAGGAGGGGTCGCTATGAGTCGGGGCCGACTCGATGGCACATAACAACAACAACAACAACAACTATACTAAAAAAATAAAAAGTTATTTCTCTGATGTTCACATTTAACTGCATCTTGAGATTTTATCTGGCAGCCCTGGATGTGATCAGAAGTTTTTCTTAAGTAGCACCCACCTACTGCCATCGAGTCATAGCAGACCCATAGCAACCTCTCCTTGGGTTTCTGAGGCGGTATCACTACGGAAGTAGATTGCCCAGCCTACCTTCCGAGGAGTGACTGGTGGGTTTGAACCTCCAGCCTTCTGGTTAGCAGTCAAATGCCTTAGGCGCTACGCCACCAGAGCTCCTTTCTGAAGTAATGTGGGATCAGAAAGAATGCAATGGGATAAAGTTGTTGTAGGTGCCGTCAAGTCAGCTCCAACTCCTAGCAAGCCCATGTGCGACAGCCGAACGCCGCTCAGCCCTGCACCAGCCTCACAGTCCATGCTGTGCCTGAGCCCATCCTTGCGGCCACTGCATCAGTCCATCTTGTTGGGGATCTTTCGTTGACCCTCTACTTTGCCAAGCATGGTACCCTTCTCTAAGGGTGGTCCCTTCTGACAGCATGGCCAAAGTAGGTGAGGCGGAGTCTGGCCCTAGAGTAGATAGAGAGACAGAGTTAAGCACACAATGTGGGGCAGAGCCCCTCTGTAGGAGTCAAGTGGGTGGAGAAATGGGCAGTTAGTGATAGTTCAAACCACTTAGAGCTCCGCTTCGCTTGAGTCTGCCAAGGAAAGGAGCCACAGCTGAAAGGAGTGGACCTGGCTTTGATGGGAAGGAGTCAAGTGGGTGGAGAAATGGGCAGTTAGTGATAGTTCAAACCACTTAGAGCTCCGCTTCGCTTGAGTCTGCCAAGGAAAGGAGCCACAGCTGAAAGGGGTGGACCCGACTTTGATGGGAGGAAGCAGAGACCTGAGCTGGGTGAGGAGAAGGTCAGAAGGGCCTGACGGCTCTGGGAAGCACTGGGAATAGGCTGATGAACTCTTGTCCGTTTAATTCGTTAAGCATCTATGTGGCTGCTCCAAGTCATAAGCCCTCCCTCCAGGACTCTGCAGCTGGCTGGGAAGGCTGGCAGGTGGGCAGGGTTGGTCTATGTGCCCAGTGCCCAGTTAGCATGAGGCAGGATTGATTGGTCACACCACAGAGATGGCTCTGATCTGGGCTTTGAAGGGTGAATAGGAGTTCACCAAGCATCCAAGGCTGGAAGGGAGGTCACTTAGTTTGAGAGATCCACATGTGCAAGAGCAGGGTGTCAGGAATCACACTGCCCAGTGTGGCCCATGAGAGAGGGGCAGAGGGGCACAGGGTCCCAGCTGTGGGCAAAGTAGGGCTGGAGACGTTCCGGGGCTGGAGAGACTCAGGTGTAGATCTGTACCTTTGTGGAGTTGTGGGCAGTGGAAATTTACCGTCAGATTAGCACTGGGTGAAAGAGCCAAGCTGGAGATCCATGGCCCCGAGAGGACCCAGTGTGACTCAGCAGGCCGTTTCAGGGCTGGTTTGGGAGCCCTGGAAGGGAAGCTTGATGCCCAGAGCCCAACCTTCTGGGACTGCACCCAGTTGACCTGTGTCCTCCATGCTGGTACAGTGGAGCCCTGTCACGAGTCCCCACTCCCCCCGGAGGGCAGGGACTTTATCTCACACACCCCAGAGTAGCAGAGCCTAGCCCAGGACCTGGTGTTCAGCAGTGTGCGCTATGCAATTGCCAATTGACTGAAATAAGGCTGCTCTTAATATCGCAGCCTCCCCGCACACACACCTTCATTCCGCAAAGGTGGGCTTGAGGTCTTGTTTTTCACTGCAGCATACCCAGAGCCTAGAATAATGGCTTGCTGTTAGATTGTTGTTGGTTAGCACTGAGTCGACCCGAAGTGACGGAGTGGCACGGCCCCGTGGGGTTATCTTGCTGTGATCTTCACAGAAGCACATCCGCAGGCCTTTCGTCTGTGGGACTTTCTCCTGAACTTGGATGGGTTCCGGCTGTCAACCTTTCTTTTGGCAGCCCAGTGCTTAAGCGTTGTGTCACCAGGGCCCCTTGAATAGTAGCTGCAGATGAGTGAATGCACACACATGAATGGATTGGAGACAGAATGAAGAAACACAGCTCACGTGACCGTGTGTTCAGGTGGCTATAAACTGGCTTTGAAGGGAGGTGGCTCAGGGGAAGGGCCTGGGTTAACTGGGCCATACTGTGACCCTTGCTTGAGTAACTGACGTAACTGCTCAGAGCCTCCATGATCTCATCCATAAACTGGGGATTCGCAGGGGCAAATTGTGGGGTTGTTGTGAGGGTTGATGCTGGTTATATGATCATTAGAAAGTGTTACAGGCCTGGAGCATGTGGGGTTGTAGCTGTTGGCACTCCTTGCCCTGTCCCAGTGCCCACACGCATTCAAGGCTTTGGAATCCCACGTGTAGGAGTGTGTGCCGACATCATAGTACGTTCACACACTGAGTCCCTTTTGTATGCTGGGCACTGGGGACACCGTGGGGAGCCAGCCAGGTGGGGCGCTAGTTCTCAAGGGGGTTTCTATCAGCTGAGGGTCAAGAGGAAGTCAACATGTGCACAAACCCATAACCCAGAAAACCCTGAGTGAAAAAGAGCTAAACCCTCCCCTTGCACTATAGGAGCCAGTGTGCAGCTGGTCTTCCCAGGAGGAACATCCAGAAGTGGCGATATCAGCGTGTTCTTTCGAGATGGGGAGTGAGACGCCCCTCAACTCTGCTAGGGCGTGGAGTATCACAAGGATTGGGGGGCACATCGTTTGTAAACTGCTTTCTTTTTATTTCCCCTTTTCCTTAGTGATATTCTGCGGGTCACACTTTTGTTATATTGCCATTCCTTTTACCCAAATTTACACATATTTAACTAGTCAGCAGTTTTCCCTCCTTGTAGAACTAGGTGACTTTTTTATTTTCTGTGTCCTTCCTGTTTACTTAGCTCCTCTCCCTCCTGAGAGAAGTGGGGAAGGCATTAACCAGCCTGGAGATTGCTCTGGTGGTGCAGTGCCTCATGCATTTGACTGTTAACCAGAAGGTTGGTGGTTCAAACCCACCAGCCGCTCTGCTGAAGGAGGACTGGGCAGTCTACTTCCGTAAAGATTTACAACCTCAGAAACCCAGTGGGGGTCGCTATGAGTCGGAATCAACGGGATGGCAGTGGGTTGGGTTTGGTTAGATTGCTCTAGAACTGTTTGACTTAATTGCTGATAAAAATCAAAAGTAAAAAAATTACATTAAATTTGCATTATAAATTAAAAGCAAATCCCAAGGAAGGAAGGAAGGAAGGGAGGGGGGAAGAGAAAAATAAGGAGGGACTGAGGGAGGGATGAAGGAAGGGGGAGGGAGGAGGAGGAGGAGGAGGGAGGCCAGACAGAGCTCCGTTTTGCTTGAGTCTGCCAAGGGAAGGAGCCACAGCTGAAAGGGGTGGACCTGGCTTTGATGGGAGGAAGCAGAGACCTGAGCTGGCTGAAGAGAAGGTCAGAAGGGCCTGACGGCTCTGGGAAGCACTGGGAATAGGCTGATGAACTCTTGTCCGTTTAATTCGTTAAGCATCTATGTGGCTGCTCCAAGTCATAAGCCCTCCCTCCAGGACTCTGCAGCTGGCTGGGAAGGCTGGCAGGTGGGCAGGGTTGGTCTATGTGCCCAGTGCCCAGTTAGCATGAGGCAGGATTGATTGGTCACACCACAGAGATGACTCTGATCTGGGTTTTGAAGGGTGAATAGGAGTTCACCAAGCATCCAAGGCTGGAAGGGAGGTCACTGTCTGGTGCCTGTTCCAGCAGCCCCTTCCCCAGGGGTGTCTGCCAAACTGAGTCCCTCCTGGGAAGAGCTGCCAGGAGCAGAGGGCTGTGGGAGCCCAGACCCTAATTCGGTGCTCAGCCCAGGCACAGGAAAATTGGGGAAGTTGTAGAGAGGGAGAACAATGTGGAACAAAACTCGAAATCATTTGGAGGGGAAAAAAAAAAAGATGGTTGGAACCAGGTTTGCTGGTCCAATAGAGCCTGGTGGAACCACTGAGACTATGGCCTCTAGCTGCCCTTCAGGTCTGGAATTGAACCCACACCTGTGGTTTCCAGCCAAACAAAGTACAGGCATGTGAGTTAAACATTTACCTCAAGTAGACACACGCCCTGGAGAGAACAATCATAGGAGAAGGAAGGGCTGCTTATGCACAGGGAGACAGCTCAGGGGGCAGGAGTGTATGGAGGGATGGACACTGGGAAGAGGTAACTATGGGGAGGAAGTGGGAGGGGAGCTGTTGCATTGTGGTGAACTGTGGTCAATGACATGAGACAAAGTATATGTGAACTGCTGTATGGAAAGTGAATTTGCTCTGTAAATCTTCACAATAAAAAAAAAAAAAAAATTGGGGAAGTTGATGGTCCAGGCCCAGAACACAGTTGAATGAGCGAATGGATCAACTTCCGTTTCTCTTAAGTCCTGCAGCTCGTCAAGTCTCAGAAGTTCCTGAACAAGTTGGTGATTGTGGTGGAAACCGAGAAGGAGAAGACTTTGCGGAAGGAATATGTCTTTGCTGACTCTAAAGTAGGTGGCGGCACGCTTCTAAGAAGAGCAGAGGCAGGAGCAACTGATGTGTGTGTGTGTGAGCCTCACTGCGTGCCGCGCAGGGCCACTGGTAGCTCCCTGGGTGCTCACAACACCCCAATGTACACACTGGAGAGCTGAGCCTCGGTAGGGAGGACGTCAGGGCCGGGGCATGGAGCACGCATCACTCCGTGTGCCTCTGGAGCGTACATGCTCTGTGCTGCCACCGGGCACCTGCATCTCTCCCAGCCCCACCCTGATGGGCACAGAAAGTTTACACTTGACAGTTTGCTAACCTAAAAGGTGCTTTGGATGCCTCCAGCAGCACTGCAGAAGAAAGGCCTGCAAAGCTGTTTGTAGCCAAGAAAGCCCTGTTATAGCCAAGATCTGATTACAGCTGAGAAAACCCTATGAGGCCATTCTGTTGTTGTTGTTATGTGCCGTCGAGTCGGCCCCGACTCATAGCGACCCCGCCTTGGGTTTCCGAGGCAGTATCACTACGGAAGTAGGATTGCCCATGAGGCCATTCTACTCTGTCAAATATGACTCTCATGGTTGCCATAAGGCAGAATTGACTTGACAACAGTGGGTTTGGTTGTTTCGTTTCTCTGGGATGCACTGTGAGGCCGTCCAGGGTACTTGTGGATTTGAATGTGACCCCTCACCGGGCTCTGTTCGCAGACCTCCATTTCCGCCTTCTGCCTCCCTCTGCAGAAGCAAGGGACCCCTGCTAGGTCCAGCTCCTGCAGTGGGAGGTGGTGTGGGCCGAAGGGCACACCCTTAGTCCACAGGCCCCCGAGGGGCTCTCCACAGCCAAAGGCAGGGTCTCCGACAGGTGAGCTGGGGCTGAAACCCCTCGTGCTGGCCTTGCTGGACTTGTGGCTCAAAGGGAAAGCATAGGTGTGTATCTCGATTGTTCACCGGGAAGTCTGTCCTGACAGACACACCTCTCAGTTTTCTTGGCACTGCCGAGTCCTTAGGGAAGGGCAATGGAAGGGGTGGAGGCCTTTCTGAGTCTGTCTGTCCTTCTGTCCCCAGAAGAGGGAAGGCTTCTGCCAGCTTCTCCAGCAAATGAAGAACAAGCACTCGGAGCAGCCAGAACCAGACATGATCACCATCTTCATTGGCACCTGGAACATGGGTGAGTCTGCCTGGGAGCAGCGGGGAAGTGACACGTGCCTCCCGAGCCCTCAGTCATCTCTAAACAATTGAACCCTTTACCTGAGGCAGCCAAAATTAAAAAAAAAAAAACAAAAACGCACTGCCATCAAGTCAAATCTGACTGATAGCAACCCCACTGGGTTTCCAAGGCTGTAAATCTTTATGGAAGGAGATTGGCCCATCTTCCTTCTGTGGAGTGGCTGGTGGGTTTGAACTGCTGACTTTCCAGGTAGCAGCCAAATGCCTTATCCGCTATGTCACCAGAGTGCCTGAGGCAACGGGCAAGACATATGAGCTCTGGGATGTTCACTCCCCAAGAACAGCCCTCAAGCCATCCAAAAGCAAATCCACTGCTGGGAGTTGATTCCGACCCCTAGTGACTCCATGTAACAGAGGAGACCTGCCCTCTAGGGTTTCCAGGGCTGTCATCTTTACCGAAGCACACTGCCACATCATCCTCCCATGAAGCTGCTGGTGGTTTTGAACCAGCAACCTTTCGATTAGCAGCCCAATGCTTAACTGATGCAGTCACCAGGGAAAGTTCTAGGTGGAGATCCAAATGTCCAGGTGAACTTTCTTGGGCACTTTGCCAGCCTTAGGCAACTTGCCAAGGCCCGTCACACATACCCTTCTAGGAAAAACCCACCTCTGAGTAGAGCTGCCAGATTTAACAATAGAGGATAGTAGACTGACAAATATAGACAGTCAAATTTGAGTTTCAGATAAACAAATGATTTTCAAGGATAAATATTCCCCTGTAAATAAATAAATACAGGCTGTGAAGTTGAATATGAATTTCATATAAACAACACAGGAGTGTTCAGTGTAAGTCTTCAACTGGAAATAAATACATGTGCGCACGCATGCACACTGGATGTCCACTTCAACTTGAATCTCAGATAAGCAGATACCGCACAGGATCAAACCAAACTCACTGCCATCGAGTTGATTCCAACTCATAGCGACCCCCACTGGGTTTCCGAGGCTGTAAATCTTTACTGAAGTATATCGCTTTATCTTCCTTCCGCTAGTGACTGGTGGGTTTGAACTGCTGACCTTCTGGTTAGCAGCCAACTGCCTTATCCACTGTGCCACCAGAGCTCCTTAATGCACAGGATAGACGTAACTAAAAAACCTCTCCGTTGTTTCTCTGAAGTTCAAATTTCCCTGGGTGTCCTGGATTTTATCTGGCAGTCGTCCCAGTTTTTGCCTTCCGTTTGTCCCAAGCAGAGTCAACCCAGCTTCCCCAACAAGGCAGGGAGTCACCTTAGCCAACCTTGTCTGGGGGAAGGGGTAGGCGTTGACCCTTCCCTAGAGGCAGGGGACTATCTGGAAACGAAGTCCCGACCTGGGTAGCCCCTGCGTGGAGAACAAGCCGGGCCTTCCAGGTCAGGTGGAAACTGCTTGTCGTCTCAGCATCTCCTGGCCCTGATCCCACGCGCCCACCCACCCTGCATCACAAGCACCACAAGCTGCACTAAAGTAGAGCCCTGGCCCGTGTCCCGGGGCCCTGCTGCCCTTCACAGTGCTTCTGTTGGCCACCTGACTTCACCCACCCCTTGGAGGTCCATGCACAGGCCGTATGGTCCTTTCTGTTGGGGCACTTTCTGTTGTCCCACTGCACAACCGCAGGGCACCCTTCACACAGAAGGAGCTGGCTGGGGCAGAGAGGTCGCTGGGGTCCTGCAGGAGCGCAGGCCATGGCGGTGGTCCAGTCACTTCAGTTCGTGGCTTCCTGGCACTTAAGGAAAAAGAGTTTACTCATCCTTCGTGGGTGTGACAGGGAGAAATAGACCTGCCACCATTCCTCTAGTCTGCTGTTCCCACTCATTTTTCCAAATGAGATGGAGGGGTTCCTGTGCTCTTCCCGTTTCCCAAGCTACCAGTCGCCGCAGAGTCAGCTCTGACCCCTGGCGCCCCACGCATTTCAGGGTAGGACTGGGCTCCATGGGTCTCAGTGGCGGGTTTTCTGGGAGTGGATCACCAGGCCTTTCTTCCGAGGTGCCTCTGGGTGGACTCAGACCTGCAGTCTCTCAGTTAGCAGCCAACTGCCTTAACAGCTCGCAACACCCAGGGACTCCATTCCCAGGCTAACGCCTGCACGTCGCTCAGTTCTCAGCTTTGTTGACTCCCAACCATGGGCTGGGAGCATTGTGGTTCTGTGGCAGAATCCTCGCTTTCCATGAGGGGGACCCCAGTTTGATTCCCACCTGCACCTGACGGGCAGCCGCCCCCTTCGGTCAGTGGAGGCTGGCAAGTCGCTGTGATGCTGACATGTTTCAGGGGAGCTCCCAGACTGAGACAGACTAGAAGAAAGGCCTGGGATCTACTTCTGGAAACCAGCCCATGAGACCCTGTGACCCTAAACCCCACAAGGATCCAATCTGTGACCAGTCACAGGGCTGGTGCGGGGCCGGGCGCTTGTTTCATTCCATTGTACGTGGGGTCGCCACGACGCAAGGGCCAACTCAACAACAGCTGACGACTGTGACAGTCATTTGGAGGCTTTGTCCTACACTTTGCTCACTTGGCTGTCTCTCCAGTGGAACGTCCATTCCTTGGGGGCCAGAACTGTGTCTCTTCCCCCTCTTAGCCCTGGAGCCCAGGGCAGGGTTTGGAATATGGTTCAGCTAGTTCTGTGACCCTAGGGAATCTCCAGGGGTCTCAGTTGTCTTCAAAGATAATCTCAGCCCAACCCCGCCCGGCATCCTGGGAGGTTCTGGTCCTTAGTTCGGCTGCCTGAACGATCTCATGGTCTAGGTTGGCAGCTCGAACCCACGCACAGGTGCCTGGGAAGACAATCTGCTTCCCAAAGGTCGCAGCCTTGAAACCCTGTGGAGCAGTTTACCCTGTGCACACGGGCTGCCAGGAGGCAGCCCACAAGCCCCGCCCCGTCGCTCTTTGTAACTCCTGATGCTGTTGAATGTCTGGGCCTCTAACTCACTTGGTGTTGGGTTTTGCTGTTGAAGGTAACGCCCCCCCTCCCAAGAAGATCACGTCCTGGTTTCTCTCCAAGGGGCAGGGAAAGACGCGGGATGACTCCGCGGACTACATCCCCCACGACATCTACGTGATTGGCACCCAGGAGGACCCCCTGGGGGAGAAGGAGTGGTTGGAGATCCTCAGGCACTCCCTCCAGGAGATCACCAGCATGACCTTTAAAACGGTGAGAGCAGGCCGGCAGCTCCCCACCGCCAGACGTGTCTGGGCCTCAGCGTCCCCCCACCTCCAGGGCCACAGAGATGCACGCAGGGGCCGTGTTCCGAGAGTGGTGGGGTCCACGGGGCTGCTGGGGGTCCCTGGAGTGCTGTCTCCCCTGTCCCTGCTCGTGGGAGGAAGTCTTTATGTCACCTGGATGCTGTCAGGCCTCGGTCCCTCTGCTTGTCTCTCCTCTGTGGGGCATTGTCAGCAATCCTCCAGAGAAGCTTGGGACTGCCAGGCAGGTGCCCCAGCCCAGGAAGGACAGTCTAGGGCGCCCTCTGGGTTCACGCACATACCCTGGCGGCGGGGCCCCAGTGTCACAACGTTGTCTCCCCCCCTCTGGGTTCACGCACACACCCTGGTTGCGGGATCCCAGTGTCACAACGTTGTCCCCCCAGATGGCCATCCACACCCTGTGGAACATCCGCATTGTGGTGCTGGCCAAGCCGGAGCATGAGAACCGCATCAGCCACATCTGCACGGATAACGTCAAGACGGGTATCGCCAACACGCTGGGTGAGCAGGGGCGCCGTTCCTTCATTGTGTGGGCCTGACCTAGGGCCGCCAGCTGGTCTCGGGCAAACCAGGTTAAACACCAGGAGCCTCACAGCCCAGAGCCCCTCAGCCTCGGGCAAGTTGGCCCGCAGGTCCCCCAGCCTGACACCTCCCCGGGGCTACCTCGGGGCTTCTCCAACTTCGCTGTGCACGCCATCGCCTAGGGGTTCATTCTGTGGGGGCCCAGTTCTCTGCATTTCTGACACGTGCCCTTTAGTCTGTGCTGCTGGCCTGGGGCCCCACTTAGAGTCTCAAGGGTCTGGAACAGGAGTTGACACACTTGTCCTGTAAAAAGCCAGATAGTAAGTATGTGGGGTTTTGCAGGCCTTACACAACTGCTGCTCTCTGCCTTGTGTGAAACCAGCCACAGATAACATGGGAAATGAGTCCAAGTGGCTGTGTTCTGATAAAACTTCATTGACAAAAGTGAATTCTGGCTGCATCTGGCCCATGGGCTGGGGGTTGCTGATTCCTGATCTAGAAACTGAAATGAGAGTGGAAGACCCATGAGTGTGAATTCACATGTTTGTGAATGTGGGTATGTGTGAAGGAGAGTCTGTGTGGGTCTGTTGCATGTATATATGCAAGTGTGAGCACATGTTGGTGTCTCTGTTAGTGTGAGTACATGTGTGTGAATGGGTATGTGAGTGGGTCTGTGTGAGCATGTGAATCTAGTATGTGTGTATATGTAAGTAGGTGTTTTTATAAGTGTGTGAGTGTATGTGAGTGTGTGACTGAGGTGAATTAGGGTCAAGTGTGTATGTGAGTAGTGAGAATCTTGAGTGTGTGAGTTTATTATGGGAGTGTGTGTATGTGTGGCTGGGTGGGTAAGCCTGTCATGTGAATGTGTATATGTGATAGTATGTGTGTGTGTGTGTGACTACAATGTGACTGAGTCTGTTTGTGAGTGACATCTGTGAGTGTGTGAGTCTCTTATGTTTGTGTATATGGAAGAGTAAGTACGTGTGAGTGAGTGTGTGTGTGCGCCTGTGATGTGACTGAGTCTGTGTATATGAGAGAGTGTCTGTGAGTGGGTGTGAGGTGTGAGTGGTGGGAGTGTATTATGTGTGTGTGTCCATGTGTGAGGCTGTGAGGGTGAGTGAGCATCTATGAGTGGATGTGAAGTGGGACTAGGAGTGTATTATGTGAAGGTGAGTGCATGTGTGTGTGTGTGTGAGTCCATGGCTGAATATGTGAGGGTGAGTGAGCATTTCAGTGGTTGTGGGGCAGGAGTGTAAGTGTATCATGTGAGGGTGAGTGTGTGTGAGTCCATGTATGTGAGGGTGAATGAGTCTGGGTGTGGGGTAGAAGTGTGAGTACATTATATGAGGGTGAGGGTGAGTGTGAGTCCCTGTGTGAGTGTGAGGGCACACACAGTGACAGCAGGCCCAGGGGTGGGGCGGAGGGTGGCCCAGCAGCTCTGGTGGTTGGAGGCGGGAATGGCGCAGGGTCCCTGAGGTAACAGGAAACAGAAGTGCCGCAACTGAGAGTGTAAAACGCTCTCTCAGCTTTTTTGCCGTCAAACCAAACCACAAACTGCCACACACACCCCCTTTTCCCTCCTTCCTTCCTGTCTCCATCGGGCGGCGCTGTCCTGAAGCCCACGCCCTTCTGCTGCTCAGGAACCTCTTGTGAGCCCTGATGCCATCCCACCTGGCTGCCAGCCTGTCCCCACACCGGTCCCCTCACACTTCGTCACCAGCCCTCCCCTCAGCTCTGCACGTAGGGAGCAATGTGCGGCATGATGCCAGCTGCCTGTGACAGGGACCCGGCTCCCACGGGTGCCACACAAGCACAGGAGTGAGAAATGAGACAGTTTCCGAGAGAGAGAGGGCCCTGGCCCAGGGTGTGTAGTGGGAGACGGGTGCTGATGAGGGGCCTATCTGAGCAGGGCACGGGCCCAGCCCCAGAATGCACCCCTTCCAGACCTCTGGCTGCTGCCAGCTGCTCCCGGCTCTCATCTTCACCCTGCCAGGCACAGGGGGAGCTGAGGGCCCCTCCTCCCTC